TTTTTCCATTGAGGATATATTTAATGGTATTGGTTCCTTAAGTGATAAACTAAGCAGTGGTCCTGATGGAATTCCATCGTACTTCCTAAAACATTGCATTAACTCTTTATGCAAACCACTACATATAATGTTTAATTTATCACTAAAACTTCAACAATTTCCTAACTCATGGAAAGAGAGTCATGTTATACCTGTATTCAAAAGCGGATCCAAGCAGGAAATTCAGAACTACAGACCTATTTCGATTCAATCCTCGATTCCAAAATTATTGGAGAAGCTGGTAAATAATTGTTTATCTTGGCACTGCAAAAACTTACTTACTGATCAGCAGCACGGTTTTACAAAAGGAAAATCTACTACAACTAATCTTGTTATCTATCACAATTACATAATAAATTCTGTAGTAAACGGTTTGCAAGTAGATGCCATATATTCAGACTTTTCTAAAGCCTTCGATCAAGTCAATCACGAATTACTATTACTCAAACTGCAAGCCTACGGATTCCCTCCCTTTCTTCTAGAGTGGCTTAAAAGTTATCTCATTGGTAGAGTGCAGCGTGTCAAAATAAAGAATTATTTGTCTGATCCCATAAAAGTTTCTTCTGGTGTACCGCAAGGGGCCCACTTAGCTCCATTACTTTTTAATCTATTCATTAATGATGTTGGATCTGTTTTTGAATATAGTAATTATCTGCTATTTGCTGACGATTTAAAGATTTACTTAAAGATTAACAGTGGTGATTGCTGTAATAATATTGAAAAAGATTTCCATGCCTTATGTAAATGGTCTTCCTCTAATGGTCTAACCCTAAACACTAGTAAGTGTTACTGCATTACTTTTACAAAAAATCATAATCAAATAACACATAACTACTCTCTGAATAACAATACATTAATTAAACGTGTTACCGAAATTAAAGACCTGGGAATCGTGTTTTGCTCAGATCTTTCGTTTAATAATCATATCAATCTTATAGTTAATAGAGCAATGAAAATGTTAGGCATGCTGATAAGAAACTCTAGATCGTTATCTTTAGATGCCTGTAGAATGGTTTATATTGCATATGTGCGGTCCATTTTGGAGTACAGCTCTACCATATGGTGTCCATTTTACATAAACTCTGTAAAAAGGATTGAAAATGTCCAAAATAAATATCTACGATATTGTGCCTTTAAAGTTGGTCTAGCAGCAGGTACATATAATTATTCCACAATTCTGGATTTAATAAACCTCCCAACCCTTGTTAATAGAAGAATATTGATGGATCTATCATTCCTCCATAAGATCATAGCCGGGATTATTACTTCTGATGAGTTATTAGCTATGATTGAATTTAGAGTTCCCACAAGAACTACAAGAAATAATAGTTTATTTGCCATTCAACTTCACCTTACCAATTATGCTTATCATGCACCTCTACCTAGACTAATGCGACTGGCTAATCAATACAATTTAGACATCACTGGGTGTTCTATTAGTCAATTTGTGAATGATGTAAAGATAATTTGTTTTTAATATCTTTAGTTTAGTTTATTACATTTCATATATGAAATTTTAGATTTATTGTGCCTACCTTTTTTTTTTTTTTTTAATGTACTTAAGCTATTTTATTTTATGTAATTTATTGATACTAATGGATTATTCCGTAATATATATATTTATTTATTTATTTATTTATTTATTTATATATTTGGCAACAACGTATATTGTTTCTCCTCTGTAATATCTATATAAAGTGTTGCCCTTTTTGTTTCACATATCAACTCTAGTGCAATATGTGTAGCTACAGAAAACTATATTTATTACAGCTAATTTTAGATTATATTTGTACTATCGTGACTCCATCTCGCGTTGGCGAAACGTAACTTTTGTAGGGTAATATAAACCTTAAAGGTGGTGGTAAACATTTTTCTAATAACCTATATTATAGGTCTATACCTGCTGCCTACATTAGCAAAAATTCTTGAAAAATTGATGAAAATTCAAATGATTGATTTTTTAAATAAGGGTTTGTTTCTAATCCAATAAAAATACTTCAGACGTCATATTTTCTTTTTTTAAGAAACTATATTTGGAGCTAAATGAAAAATCAGTTGCTCGTAGCTGTATTCTGTGATTTATCTAAGGCGTTTGACTAATGACTATGTAAATCACAGAATATTATTAGGTAAATTAGAAAAATATGGTTTCAAAGGTAGGAGTTTGGAATGATTGAAATATTATTTGTCAAACAGATGTAAAGGTGTGGTGGTTAAGAATGATACCTCAGATTGTCTTCTTGTTGCCAGTGACTCTGTTCTAAGGCTGCTACTTTTTATTGTACATTAATGACTTGTCCAATATTAATATTAATAAATTATTTACTATTTTTGCTGATATAACCAGAATGTGGCACGATAAAACTGAAGACATTTTAGCTAATAAAATTTATAATGATGTTATTTTAATAAAACAGTGGTGCGATTCTAACCTATTAAGCTTCACAACTTTCAAATTTAATATTTCAGACATTGTTCTTTGTCAACAACACATTGGGGATCCTGTAACCAGGAACTATTTAAAAGAGTTTTTGTTACAAAAAAAGGCTCAAATTTCTGAGCAACGTTAGCTTGGAAGTTTCATGCAAGTCTTTATTTTTAGAGCATAACATTTTAACCTTAGTCATCATTTATATTTTGGAAACATCAGTGATCATGCACAAAAAATAAAAGACTATAATCAACACAAACTCTTATCATGATACCTAAATTAAATTTAAGGGTATAAAGAGATTTAGATTAGATTATATTTAAAAGGAATTGGATATTATTTGTTGTCCACCTTGACCTTATCCAATCTATTGTGGGACTCTATTATTTTAGAGTATGTCATCTAGCTTGGTCTTTATTATTGGACTTAGTAACCTTGACAGTGGCTTCTGCATGTACTTCGACTGGTTTTTCTTTACCTAGTGTTAGTAACCTCAATCTAGCCAGGCCTTCACACTGACACAGGACATGAATTTATGTTTCCTCATCTTCTTCACAGAACCTACACAATGTTGCTTCTTCTGCTGGAATGATGACCTACTCTTATCCTAACGACTTCTCATTTTTGATCCAGTTGGTATTTTGTGAACTTGGCCGATAATTCCTTAATGAACTATTTGGCCTGTCTCAATCCTGAATAGGTCACCATTCTTGTATCCATTGTTTGATGGATGCTTTGCACAAGTCCCTTAGCATAAAATTTAGTGAATAACATCTGGTAGATTCTTCTCTTATTGAACAAATGTGTGTTATATTACATACAGTCAAAATACTAATTAACATATCTAAAAGTTGCCCTCTTTACTGTATATCTACAGTCTCACCTTTTCTTTTTTAAATGTGATTTGTAATAAACAAAGTAAAAATGGGCGCTGACAGGCAACAATGTTATTCAAAAGTTGGTAAACTTAATAGTTTAATGACAATTTAATAGTAGTTTAACTTTAAATTTTCAAAAACCTTACAAATGATATAATTTTAAAAACTGTTCCCTATATCAGACACCAGCATGTTCCCAATTACGGATGGTATACTCTGATTTATTAAATTATAGACAAGTTTATATTTATATTTATTGAACGAAAACAATTATTAGTAGTTACAGAGTAGTATTCCGATCTCCTAAAGAGCTTTTGTGAACTAAAATCTTAACAACTGCTACTGTTACACTAAACTGATCAGACCTCACACTATTAACTGGTTGTTTCAAGCCGGTTTCGTTCCACATTCTCTTTTATAAATAATGGCAATAATAAGAACCACCCACTTTGAATTGTCCGGTACTGGGAATAGTAGTAGTGTGCCGGTACTGGGGCACCACAAGAAGTTAGCATCACATACTATTTACTAATAATTTGACTAATTTTTGGTTAATATATCCCCAAACGACATAAAATTTTAGGTTACTTATCAACAAATTGTTAAGCTTACCATGTGTGATACACGAATTAAACAAATTAGAGGGATGCTCTTATTTAATGTAGGAACGAGTCAATTGGAACTGTCTGGCGCTGGGTCAACTTCCCCTACCAGATTAGCAACTGTACTGTGATATTAGATACACATAATAAAGGGAATCAAAATTTTAGTTACAACTTTTCATTTAATATAGCAAGATCTTACCTGCAGGAATAACAATGCCTTTAGGAAGAAAATAATTAAGCTTTAAACAGCTATCACAGCACCTTTCTTTGGGAGTATTACCAGTCTTGTACACTAACAAACACTGATTATGTCTCCAATAATTTGTTGTTTCAGGCGAAACAGACTTATTCGTTCTACGAAAATTCCTGTTTCCAAAACAAGTCCTAAAACTAAAACGAATGTTATCAAACAAATTTAATCAATACATATAACAGTTTTTACCTTCTTAAAATTTCCAAAGTGTTCCAAAGATCAGCTACACTAGCAATATTATTTACGGCCAAAACTTCGTTCCCGAGTTTAGCGGATCCTATGAATACCTCCACTTGGAGATAGTTGCTTAAAATTAGTTGTTTTTGTAAAACAGCAGGTCCTGTACGAGGTAGTTTTATTTCGAGAAACGCAATTTTATCACTTGATTCTACGAGACTCCAATTATTTGGATTAATATGGTTTGCAATTTTAAGCACTTCCTTGAAAGACCAGTCTATCTTATTTAGATTTATAGAGACATTTCGATTTTTTGACATTTTATTCTTAATGGTGACATTGTTTTCGTGTTTTATATAGGTTATGTTTAAATTTCTTCTTCGTTTATTTTCTTCATAAATTAAAAAATGTAGCTTGATACGAAGAAAAATAAAATCATTAATTAATAACAAAACATGTTTAAAATAGTATTTTAAAATAATTAAAAGTTATTAAAATGGTCATGATACTTTTTTATTTTACAAAATTATCTTTAAAATGCAAATTTTTTTGCTACTTTAAAAAATAAGTAGAGACCTAAAGAAAAAAGAAAACTTAATCTTTAACTTGTCGATTGTCTTGTCAATTGTCACTTTGACACTTCCTTTACCGTTCACGTTTACATGTGAAGGTATTTTGTTGGTTTAAAATATAAAATATTTTAGGGTAAGTAAAGAAAATCAATTAACTTTGAAGCATAATTGTAGCTTAAATGTATACAATAATTCGGTTGCTTTTTTTATTTAGTTGAAATTGTATCGCCAAAAGTAAACACAAATTATTGCCATACTGAATGAAAAAAACTTACACTGATTTAAATTCTGAAATATACATTATAATTAATTTAGAATATAACTTTGTTATAGGTAATTATTAATAGTGGTTAGTAACAATGAGTAGATTTTTCGCCGGATCTGACTCAGACTCGGATAGTTCATCTGAGGAAGAGATTATTCAACGCCCAGCCGTTCCTGCGTTCACTGTAAGTCCCATGTCGATATTTTCTACAAATAGACTTTTAAATTCGTTGATATTTTTTAGTTCAGTGATGACGAAGAAGAAGTTAAAAGGGTCGTTAGATCCGCTAAAGAAAAACGCTATGAAGAACTTACAAACATTATTAAACAAATACGTAATTATAAAAAAATTAAGGATATGTCTAGTATGCTAAATAGTAAGTTTTAAGAATCTACATGGTATTTGTAAATTATTTATTTTGTTTACTTTTTTAAAAAGGTTTTGAGGAGTTGCAAAAGGCTTACCAAAAAGCTGCTCCTGTTATTATTAAAGAGGAAAATGGCCAGACTCCCAGATTTTTTATTAGATGTCTCTCCGAAATGGAAGATTTCATCAATGAGATGTGGGAAGATAGAGAGGGACGAAAGAATATGAGTAAAAACAATAGGTTAGGAAACATTAGTAATTTAAAATTTATATTACAAGTAAAATTGATGGTATTAATGATATTTCATTACATTTTCAGCAAGTCTCTTACATCAATGAGACAGAAATTGAGGAAATATCTAAAAGATTTTGAAGATGACTTATCAAAATTCAGAGAAAATCCTGAACAGCCTGATGATGAAGAGGAGGAAGAAAAACGTAAGTACTATTGAAATAGCAGATAATGATAAAAATAATAAAAAAATTGATTGTTTTAAAAGTTCTTGCACATCTTTTATACCAAAATGCACTGTGCTAGATTTATTTATGGACTTCGAAAATATTATCTCATAAAATGTATGAACTTAAATGGTTAAAAATTAAAAAGTAAAGGTCAATATAATTTTATTAATTTCTTGTATAACGTCATAAAAGGAAATAAATCAAAAACTCTTTTGGATAAGTTAGTTGTGAGATCAGCACTACACCCTCTAAATGTCCCCTCTAGAAATCTTTTTCACGTTCCTCATCACAATTCAGCCATGTTTCAGAAATCATTTACCTACCAATCTGTTAAAATTTATAATGAATACTTAATGAAGCAAATACATCATCCACAAAATATTTTTCCAAAAAAAATTAAAGAATACTCTCACAGCAATTTTTAATTCTTTAAAATCTAATTTTTTTTATTATTAACCGACTTCAAAAAAGGAGAAGGTTCTCAATTTGACCTGATATATATTTTTTTTAATTTTTTTTATGTGTGTTCAGCTATAATTCTTTTAACACGGTGTCCGATTTCAATGATTCTTTTTTTGTTAGAAAGGAGGTACTTCAGGGGTGGTCCCATATAAATTTGGTCAAAATCTAATAATTGGGTCCATGAGAAATTCCTCAAAATCTTCATTTTTCATGTATGTTTAGCGATAATGCTTGTCCTATTTATATGATTATTTTTTTTTTTGTTAGGGGGTACCTCAGGAGTGACCCCATATAAATTTGGATAAAATGTGGTGACGGCATCTGCACGTTTTTGAAGTTGGTTTTTTTAAATTTTTAATTTCTAATACTTGTTTTATTAAAAGCATTATGCTTCTTTTTATATTGTACTTTTAGGTTAAGTGTAAAAATAGCTTGTAGCTAAACTGCGCCTCTTTGTACAATTTATTAATAAAGACGATTTTTTATTATTATTATTACTTACCAAAATATAAATATAGCTGTCTGTTAGTCCTTTTACTGCAGAAACAAACTATTTTTGAAAATCAACAGAGTGCCATCATTGCGAGAAAATGACTTTATTCAAACTACTTGTATAAGGGATTGCTGTGGGAATCAATAATTTTTTATGTGATATATAAAATAATAATTTTCCGCAGCAAACCAGTAAACACAAGTAGTTGGAATATAGTAATTTCCCCCAATAACTGCACTATCCATTTTAAAAAAGTCTGTTCCCGCAGTGACAGGGTTAATGGAGGAGGCGCTAAAATAATATGAACATTGCTTACCTTTACTGTTCATAATATTTAAAACAATTTCAAATGTAAAGTATCAGAAAATTTAATGCCAAAGAAGGCAGCAAAGCACCTCGGGAATTTTGAGTTGAAACATATGCCACATTTTTAGGCTATTTTAAGGCTATTTTTATACCCTATTCAAAAAATTTTATGCTCCTTGTTTTTTTTGCAAAAATCAAGGTGCTCTGCTATCTTCGAACAAAGTCAGCAGAGCACCTCAGTTTTTTAAAGCTTTGATCCAAAACCAACGACACCATATTTTTAGGCTCTTAAAATATTATAAAACTTTTCGAAAAATGTTGTTATTTTTAAAAAATACAGGGTATTTTGCTAGCTTCGAAGGAATCTAGCAGAGCACCTTGGTATTTTAAAACTTTTTTCTAAATTAACTACACCACATTTTTAGGCTCTTGAAATATTATGAAACTTTACTAAAAAATTGCTATTTTTAAATAATACAGGGTGCTTTGTTGGAGCAAATTCAGCAGAGCACCTCGGTTTATTATTGTTTTTTTCAGAAAACTAGTTATGCTACATTTTTAAGCTATTTTTAGGCTCTTAAAACAATATATAACTTTTCAAAAAAATAGTATTTTTTAAAGAATACAGGGTGCTTCGCTAGCTTCGAACGAATCCAGCAAAGCACCTCGGTTTTTTAAGCATTTTTCTAAAAACAACTACACCACATTTTTAGGCTATTTTTAGGCTCTTGAAATATTATAAAACAAACTTTACTAAAAAAATTGCTATTTTTAAATAATACAGGGTGCTTTGTTGGAGCAAAGTCAGCAGAGCACCTTGGTTTATTCTTTTTTTTAGAAAACTAGTTATACTACATTTTTAAGCTATTTTTAGGCTCTTAAAACAATATATAACTTTTCAAAAAAATTTATTTTTTAAAGAATACAGAGGGTGCTTTGCTAGCTTCGAACGAATCCAGCAGAGCACCTCGGTTTTTTAAAGCTTTTTTCTAAAAGCAACTATACCACATTTTTAGGCTCCTAAAATAGTATAAAATTTTACCAAAAAATTGCCATTTTAAAATAATACAGGGTGCTTTATTGAAGCAAAGGGTGCTTTGCTAGCTTCGAACGAATCCATCAGAGCACCCCGGTTTTTTTAAAGCTTTTTTCTAAAAACAACTACACCACATTTTTAGGCTCTTGAAATATAAAATTTACTAAAAAATTACATTTCTAAATAATACAGGAAGCTTTGTTGGAAAAATATGATTTTGCTCAACCTTTATTTTTGACCAACCTCGTATAAGACTAATAAAATTTGATATCAGATGGTTGCTTCTTAGGTTTTTGATCATGTGCAACTTTTTATGAGAAATACATTTTTTCCTAAAATGAATAATAAAAAAGCTTTCCATAAGCCGTCAACTGTCTACGTTAAGTTAGCGGCATATGGAAAACTTTTTTATTTAATTATTTTTGGAAAAAGTTATTTTTAATCAAAAGTTCTGCATTGTCTTAAACATATAATACAACCACCTGGGTGCCTATTCTTGAAATCGGGGAGTGAGAAATATTGAGAGAAAATTCTCACTTTCTACTCCCTTGTAAAAATTCGTATTCTTGACATCGAATTCACCAATATTGGTGGAGAATTTTCTCTTAAAATTTTCTCCTACTTTTAGGTAGAGAGAATGAAAATAATGAGAAAATTCAATTCACAAGCATGCGCAGTGCGTGTCAGAATTTAAATAAATAAAAATATTACTATAACAACCTCATTTATGTTGTTAGTAGTTTTCAGGTATATTTATACCTTTGTGGTATTTACTTTCCCTTTAAAATGGATTTAGACGCGAAAATAATAAGAATAATTTTTATTCAATACAGATAAATTTTAGACAAAATGAAAAAAATGGTGCAAAAACTTGTTTAATTATAAAGAGTAGTAGTATAAAATTATCCCCTTACACTATAGGTATAATACTCCCCTTTTCCAACAGTAATAACTCTTTCACATATTTTAAATTTGTTTGGACTTGACTCATGTTTTTAAAATGATGAATTATTTAGGAAAGTAATACCTTCTACAATCATAGAGTTTTAAACACATTTAGAAGGATATTCAAACTGCAATTATTGCCAAGAGATTTGAATTTCTAGTTTGATAATTATTTAAAACCACAGTTAATATTATTTTTAATGAACAATAGCAATTTAAAATGTTTATACGTGAAAAAGTCAAAATTCCGTTGTCGATAAAAACAAATCATAAAATCTTAAAATGCCGGCAGTGTCATTTGCTGTCAAAAGTTCGTAGTTTCTAATTGGTCGAATGATCTAAAACAATCTGGCAACTCTGTATTTATTTTCACCATCTACTTTCTCCTCCCTTGGCTTTCACGTTATTTCAAGAATACCAATTTTTTGGGAAAGTGAAAATAAAGTGAATATATTCCCCGGGGAGTTTTAATTTCTCTCGTTTTCAAGCATACGCACCCTGATATCAAATGGTCAACCGAAGGGGTTGCTTGTCGGACATCAACAAATCGACCTCTTTGATATACCGCCCATAGACGGAGATATATTTTTATTACTTAAGGTAGTTCACTCGTAAAACAGCTTTTCTTAAGAATTCAATAAAATTTAAATATAAGGTTTATGAAAGTGTCGTTTACGTAACTAAAAAAAATTAGATTTTTTGACCGTCTGTAAAACAAGATATTAACAATAAAAATGTGCATAATTAACACTCTTGAAGCCTATCATGTACACAAGCAATGCATTTATTTCAAGATATCTCGAAAACGGTTCTTACCATATTTTTTAAAAACTAATGTTAAATAAACCAAGAAGTTAAAAATTTTTATAAATAATCGCTGAATTTTTTGACCTTAGTAAAAAGATATAGATTTATAAAATAAAAATATTTTTAAAGCAGTTGACGAGTAGTTTCGTAAAATTATTACAACTTGGCAACATTGTAGCCACTTCACGTAACAAAGTAACACTCGATCAGCTCAGCGATCGAAGAGGTTGTTATAAACTCGCGACGTATTCTTGAAAAATTAATTCGTCCACTGTGTTTGAGAACTGGAATCAGCGGTTCTGTTTGAACCAAAACAAACCCTTAAAATTAGTATGAGGAAGTCACAAATTTCTATACCATATCGTTTAAATATTTGCAAGATTGCCGGATGAATTTGATTAAAATATAACATGTCTATATGTGTTTTTATATACATGTGTTTTGTACAGTCTCTTACAAAAATAAAATTGATTAGTATTGAGAATCTCGAACTTTTGGTATTCACCATTACGCGATATTTTTATGTACGAATGTCGCGAGTGAACTACCTTAAAAGGTTATTTAATAGTTTAATTATTTATTAATTATGTACCTATTTTTTTGCTTTCAATTTACAGATTTATAATTTTATAGTAATTTTTACATATAAAACGAGAAATTTACTGAAAAAAAGGCCGCTCTTACTGATTTTTATAACAACTTATTTAACAATAGAATTGTCAAATAGGTCATTGTTTTAGGGTTACTACTAAAGTTATTAATGTTACTTTTAGTCAATTTAGTCACGTGAGATATGAATATTATTGAATACTCTGCCTATGAGTAGGTATTGTGATATGACTGATATTTAGATTTGATTTGAACATTTACTTTGCAATTTTAATATAATCAACAGGTATGGAATTTTTAACACGTGCACTACCTTGTAATTGGTATTTACACCAATTTTGAATCAATCAATCTCAGCTTAAACAACTTATTGGTATATTGTTCATCATTGATTTCGATTATTTCTTCCGCATTGATATAATTAATCATAGAAATTAAAATGTTTGTTAATTAAGGGTTTTTTGCAATGAGCCTATCCTAATCTTAATAAGTATTTAATACAAATTTTCTTTTAATTTGACTTACAAAGTGACATTTTTGTAATCGCAGCGAGTGTCCAAATTATCTATCTACTTTGAGTTACAAAAAGTTGAACATTATGTAACTGGTTATGTCATAAATATGTTCATGATTGCGAAAAGAAAATAAATAAAAGAAACCTTTTTTTTGAATAATTTATATTATTTCAAGAGCCTAAAAATGTGGTGTAGTTGTTTTTAGACAAAAGCTTTAAAAAACCGAGGTGCTCTGCTGGATTCGTTCGAATTTAGCAAAGCATTCTGTATTCTTTAAAAAATACATTTTTTTTTTAAAGTTATATATTGTTTTAAGAGCCTAAAAATAGCTTTAAAACGTAGCCTAACTAGTATTCTGAAAAAATAATAATAAACCGAGGTGCTCTGCTGACTTTGCTCCAACAAAGCACCCTCTATTAATAGCAATATTTTAAGAGTCTAAAAATATCCTAAAAATATGGTGTCGTTGGTTTTGGAAAAAAGCTTTAAAAAAGTAAGGTGTTCTGCTGACTTCATTCGAAGCTAGCAGAGCACCTTGATTTTTGCAAAAGAGGAGCATAAAATTTTTGAATAGGGTATAAAAATAGCCTTAAAATAGCCTAAAAATGTGGCATATGTTTCAACTCAAAATTCCCGAGGTGCTTTGCTGCCTTCTTTGGCATGAAAATTTATATTGAATGAATTTCCTTTTTTTGTGTGCCATTCTATATTGAGTAATTTTTTACTATACAAATATGTAAATTATCGCAGCTGATGTGGAATTGGATTCCGAAAACGAGGCACCTCCAAAGAATCAATTCCTAAAAACGCCCGCGAAACAAGCCGTCATCGATGATAAAGATGAATCGTCAGATGACGACGATGATTGGCCGTCTGACTCTGATACGAGTTCCACATCTACTGACGACGATGAAGGGAAATACAGCGGCAAATACAATAGAAAGCGTTTCTTGAAGACGGCCGGTCCAGATCACGAGGTAGAAGACGAGGATAAAGCGATCCGAAAGGAAGAAAAGAGGAAAGAAAGAAAAGAGAAGGAGAGGAGGAAAATTAAGAAGGAAGATGAGGAGGATGGGGAAGGAGAATGGGAGACTGTCAGAGGAGGTGTTGCTATTCCTAGTGTAAGTTTCATTTAAAGTCTGTTTGCTAGCAATGTGCACTTTCACAAAAAATTGCTATCTTTTAAACAATAGTATGAGTTCTTGTGAAAATTATTAACTTTTGTTGCCCATCATATTGTTTGGTGGTAATGATCCTGCTTCTAAGATGAGCAACCATGTTGCTGGAGGCAGCATCCTTTAGTTTACTGTTGGATGAACCTTATGAACAATGTTATGGATCTCGCCATGTCCACTTCAAATATTATTATTCTTACTGAAAGTATTCCCAAATTAAGATATTTTTACATTTGCTGAGTTACATCCATATATTCCTTTATCAATCACATTTCATTTTACCAGTTTAATCCTAAGAACACTATGCAATGGTTCACAATTTAAATTTGCGGGTTTTTCAGTATAATCTTTTTCTTACTACAATTTCTAATTCATCTTTTTTTAAGATATTGCTTACGCGTTTTAATTGCTCCATGTTCTTTTTGTTCCTTCAAATTTGAAATACTTTGGTCCTTCCTACTCTTCCTGTATATCTGCAACACATTTCCACTAATTGGCCTTTATTTTTTATTGGATGATTTACGACCAAAGCTGAAAAAAGCATTTCACACTATTATATTTCACTCTAAAACTATAGCAGTTCGCATTGCTAGCCAACAAAGTATAGGTAATGTCTCCCCATAATAAAAATATTACAGGAAAAGCCCAAGATGTTCGCCAAGGATGCAGAGATCGACCTCAGCCTCGTCATTAAAAAACTTAGCGAAATAATGGCGGCCAGAGGCAAAAAACGCACCGACCGACGCGAGCAAATCGAACTCTTACACGAACTCCAAAATGTATCTGAGCAACATCAGCTCGGCTCCGCCATTTACATCAAAATCAAGCTGGCCATAATTTCAGGCATATTCGATTACAATCCCAAAGTTTCCGATGCCATGAAACCTGAATACTGGGTGAAACTGTTGGAAAGAATGAGTGAAATGTTGAGTATGCTTCTCAACACTAGCAATTTGGTGGTTTCTGAGACCATCACTGAGGAAATGGAGAATTTGGAGGAGCCCCCTTTCCGAATTAGGGGATGCATTCTAACGTCAGTCGAACGTTTAGATGATGAGTTTACCAAATTGTTGAAAGAATGTGACCCACACAGCAATGAATACGTCGAAAGATTGAAGGATGAGTGCAAAGTTTCCAATATTATTGATAAAACCATGAAGTACTTGGAAAGGACCAACGTACCATCTGAATTATGTAGAATTTACTTGAGAAAAATCGAACATTTATACTACAAATTCGATCCTAGGGTACTCCAAAAAAAATCCGGCGACTCTACCGCTCCGAAAGATGAAATGACGTCCGTTCAAGAAATGGAAAAACTTTGCAAGTTCATCTACGCTAAAGACAGCACAGATAGATTGAGAACCAGAGCGATTTTGTCGCACATATACCATCACGCCTTGCACGACAATTGGTTTCAAGCTAGGGATCTTGTGCTGATGTCCCATCTGCAGGAAACTATACAACATTCTGATCCTAGTACTCAGATTTTGTATAATAGAATGATGGCGCATTTGGGATTGTGCGCATTTAGGCATGCCAACATTAAAGACGCTCATAATTGTCTGGTTGATTTGATGATGACCGGAAAGCCTAAAGAGTTGCTGGCCCAAGGTAGGTTGTATTAATTTTTATAAATAACATTTTGAGTTAACTGATAAATTAAATTTTTCATTAAAACTCGGTATTTTAAAAAATATGGGCCATAATACTATGATGCCATTTTTTAAAAAATTAAAATGACATTCTTTCATTAAAAATGTCATTTTAAACTTGGCTTATTTATTAACGACTTGCAGTGGAAGTGACCCTAATAGTACCATCTTTCCTCTATTGTAACAATGCATCTCACTCGAGCATTGTAAACTATAATTTATTGATTTTAGTCAAATAGGTGACTGACATTGTTTTAGAGTTACTACTGAAGTTATTAATGTTACTTTTAGCCAACTTATGATATCAATTTAGTAACATGGGAAGAATCTATTGTGGCTCATATCTAACTTATAATTCACTGTACAGGCCACACCGTTTACGGGTATTGTTGACTATTGTAAGTTTCTAATAATACGTCACAAGATTAATCAATGGCCAAAGTCAGTGAATAACATTTGTTATTGTATTTTTTTTAAACAAGCGTGTTTTACTTTCCATTGAAAAAGTCGTTAAAAAAAATTGATTCATTCCTGAACAACTATACAGGGCGAGATGATTAAACATGTTTTTTTGTACTAGGATAGTTGTGAGATCCATAATTCATGTAATAATAATAAAATGCTATACTAATATTATTTACATAGTTGCCCTTGCCATTTAAATTAGTTTACATTCAATATTTTCACAAGAAAAATCATGGCTTCATAAATATATTTTTTAATTATTGTGTTCTGCACTTTTTGATTATTTATTTATGTACTGAACCAAACCAAAAGTATTTATTTATGACAGATGATGATGATACATGACATTGTTTTCATGTAAACTTGTTTTGAATAGAAACAATTACAATAGAAATTTTGATGCCCTTCGATATCGAATCAACCATTGCACGATTTATTTTCCCTTTAAGGTCTACTTCCACAAAGACAACACGAACGAAGCAAGGAACAAGAGAAGATCGAAAAACAACGTCAAATGCCCTTCCACATGCACATCAACCTGGAACTCCTGGAATGCGTGTATTTGGTATCGGCGATGCTGATAGAAATCCCTTATATGGCAGCGCACGAATTCGACGCCAGGCGTAGAATGATTTCAAAGACTTTCTACCAACAACTCCGCAGCTCTGAGCGCCAAAGCTTAGTGGGGCCGCCGGAAAGTATGAGAGAGCACGTAGTGGCCGCGGCTAAAGCCATGCGTAACGGCAACTGGGCGGCCTGCAACAATTTCATCATTAACGAGAAAATGAACGCCAAAGTATGGGATTTATTCTATCAGGCTGATCAAGTGAGAGGTATGCTGACTAAATTGATCAAGGAGGAGTCATTGAGGACCTATTTGTTTACTTATTCTCATGTTTATGATTCGATTTCGATGCAAATTTTGGCTGAAATGTTCGATTTGGGAAAACCCGTTGTACATTCTATTATTTCCAAGATGATTATCAATGAAGAACTTATGGTAAGTGTAATTTTTTATTTTTAGGTTCTAGAATCATCTTTTTTATGTTCCGGTAACTCAGTTGGTTAAATCAGTGTGGGGTGACGATTTTTTTTATTATATACATCTTTTTTTGTCAAAATTTTGAAAGATGAAATCCTTCATCAATCCAGGTTTCGCCCAAACAAGTTTTTCTCCCCATTGCGATATCTACGGATTTCCTTTAAATATTTTCTACACCAAACAATTTCCTCTTTTTCCAGTAGGGAACTATTACTGTTTCTCTTACAATAACGAAAATTCGTATCCCTCTTTATCTAGGCACTGATTTTATTCAGTGGGGATTTAATTTTATAAAAATAGAATGAATAGAATTATTAGTTTATGTACCAGTATTCTTTTTTTTATTTTTTTCCTACCCTTCATTTTTAACAGTTTTTTGAATGCTTGATAAACTTTTCTGTCTGAAACTTTCGTTAATTTCCAACAAAATTTTACCACCTCAGAAAATGTTCGCAAATACGAATGTTTTTTATTAAGTTATATTTCGCTCCTGAAAAATGATGTGTTGCCACAGCTAAGTAACTCCGAATTCATTCTTTATGACATTTTAACAGGTTCAAAAGAAAAACAATAACTTACCGGGAATTAATTATCTTTATTCAGTTCCCACCAACGCTTCTGAAGAACAACCAAACCAACTTACAAGTGATCATTAACACTTAAAATTAAATATGATGCCTTTTTTTTATAGGGAGCATATTTCAAACGTGTTTGTTTTATTGCATGGCAAAAAATGCTAGAGTATAAATTTCAAGATACATGGGGCAATGTTTACTAAACTGATATTCGGCTAGCAGACTACCGAGCTGTGATGTATATTAAGTTTCATAATGAAATGCCTATAAAAAATTCAAATACGGTGCCGATAATTTATGTATTGTAATATTGTAATTTACCTCATAAATATTATAGTGAAGAACGAGTAAAAGTCAAAATCAATACCACAATGTATTTATTGAAACAAATAAAAAACAGGTGTGACTAGTTTCGGCCCATAAAGCCATCTTCAGGCCTTTAATAAAAAAGTATTACATAGTAAAAAAATACAATTTAATGTTCTTTACTTAAGAGCAAACCAGACCTCTCGCGAAAGCAAAAACGTTTTAAGGATTTTCTAATATAAAATTGTATTTATAAGCGTGCCACTGGGAATACTTCTCGATATTATGTTTTTTGAGAAGTGTTTTAAATTTGTGTAATGATAAGCAGCACTCTAAAGAGACTTTTAAGAAAAAAAGGCGGGAAATCTTCCCTTTAAAACAAAAAGCAATTTTCTTAGATTTAATACAGAATAGCGTTGTTTTTTTTAATTCCTTTTAAAAAAAATTCAAAATAAATACTTTACGTAGGTTTACAAAAAAATTCAAGGTTTCTCCGACCCAAGTTTTGTTATTGGTATTTCCTGGAAAATTTCGCAAAAATCGGACTAAAAATAAAGGCTCAGAAGGATTTAAATTTTCAAGGTGTTCGGTTTGGACAACTTTACAGTACAATGGTAAAGTTATCACAGATTTACAAAACTCTACTAAACAAATTATAATGGAAAAAATTAGGACAAATGTCTGTAACAATTCCTTTATATTTAACGGCCTTTAAAAATATTGGCAGCCTTTAAAAATATTTTCGTATTCGTTAATTTACTTCTGTCATTATTTAAACAGATTTCTTTAAGATAGTCCTCTAATGTATTTTAAAGATCCGTTTAAATAATGACAGAAGTAAATATTTTTAAAGGCGGTTAAATATAAAGGAATTGTTACAGAATAGACCCCATGATGAGTGAAAGGAATTAATTTGACAATCTAACTGATTTTGAGAGTGGGGACATTTTGTGATGTACTTTATCTTCTGGATATTCGTTAGGGTGCTGTAAATAGCTTTTTTATTATTTATTCCAATATATATGTTATGGTATGACTACATTTGAGAAAATTGATAATATTTCTCATACTATTTTATAGGGAGAGTATTGCTATTTCTTAAACGGTAACAGATGAAAAGTTGGTTAAATTAGATAAAAGTTGCGCAGTTTCGTGCTCATTAAAATGGTGTCAAAATATATTTGATATCTACAGGGAGATTCGCAATATCGGATAAAAAATGAAAATTGTCATTTCTTTAAATTCATCCATTTTTGTCTGATATTTTAAATCTCCCTGTAGATATCAAAGGTTTCTTGGCTCCATTTTAATTAGCACCAACTTTCTATCTGTACAGTTTAAGAAATAGCAATACTGTCCCTATAAAATAGTAGGGACCCTGTATATTATAGTGTTAAGAAACAATTATGTATTTTAATAATTTGATTTGCATAGTGAAAGAAATTCTTTTTTTAATATATAGCAACTGTTACACATTCCTGGCCGTTTATTTTAGACGAATTTTAATATAATTAACGTTATAGGCCTCTCTTGACGATCCCACTCAAACCGTCGTGATGCACAGGAGTGAACCTTCTCGTTTGCAGTCATTAGCATTGCAGCTGGCTGATAAAATCAACAATTTCGTTGATTCTAATGAAAGAATACTGGAAACGAAGCAAGGCAATTTCTTCTTGAGGGGTGCCAACCAGGTAAATAAGGTATAGTCTTAACGATCATTAATTTAAAATGAAAACATATGAAAAAAAAATATTATTGGAACTTGTTTTTTTTTTGTAGGGAAATTTCAGAGGAGACAGGCAGAATTACAGAGGAAGCAACAATCAAAATTGGGACAGGCAAAGACGTGACAGGGATAGAAATAGGGAAAAGGACAACTATTAATATAATCATTTTTTTTTACTTGTATGAAAAGTATTTCAGTTATAACAATAATTATATGATTGTATTATTTCAGCTTTTTATTTGATTCTCATATTTCCCAAGTAACTCCATTTTCTGTTGTAAATAAAAGCTCTTTGGTAGATTTGTCTTTCTCTTCTTGTAACAATCAGTACCATTTTTAATAATCGTAGATTATGTTACCCTTAATTCATTTTCTTAGAAATAAATATAACGTTACCCTAATTAGCAAACCCGGTAACTCCACTTTTTTAAAATTCACATTTTCATGCTAACTTGTAGAGAAAAAAAAAACCTCTATTACATGTTTCAAACCTCATAAATCCAGAACTCAAAATAATATTTTTCTGGATTTATGAGGTTTGAAACATGTAGTAATAGAGGGTTTTCTCTACAAGTTGGCATGAAAATGTGAAATTGGCAAAAGTGGAGTTACGAGGTTTGCTAATTAGGGTAACGATATGTAAATAAAACAAAACTCACTTTCAAAATTATATTTAACATGTCCTTTGATTAACTAAATTATTTTTTTAGAGTTTATAACAGAATAAAATTTGATAAAAACTAAGCAAAAAGTAGGGAATTGCTAATTTTTTCTTAAGACGATACCATGAAACATTTTTCAATACCAGTAGAAGTTAATTTGTAAAAAGTTGATGAAAGTTTAAATTTTATAAAATCGGCGTTTTGTTTTCAATTCATAATTTAAAATAAAAAAACTATATTATTGCCCGTTTTGTCGATATTTTTAAAAGCATTTTCTTGATATTACCTTTTTGAGCAATACCTTGACCTTTCCAAAAGAAGCCACACTGATTTTTTTAAAACAAACATACACAGTCGAGAAATAACCAGAAACAAATTAATTTATTCATTTATGTGATGAGGATGGTTTAAACTTTATAACATCAAAAGTACAATACTCAAAAACTATTAGGTGCCTTAAAGATGCAATTTGCTTATCTGTCTTGCTAGTTAAATGCCTATGTTCAATATTATTTCCGAAGTACCTCGTGGATGTCTTCTTACACATTAATACAGTATTACTCTGCATTTTTTTTTTATCATTTTTACAAAAAGAATGGAATGTTGCAGTTCTGTAAATGAAATTAAAGTCTCAGAAATACACCAAGTCTATTTGCTTTCTTTATCATTTAAATATAAAATGGAACAAAAAGTTACTAGATTTTGGCACGTCGTAGATTAATTATATCATGTCAGGTGGCAGTTATGAAAATAATTTTGAATTTGTTAAAAATTTGTATATTTTGATATTTCAGAAGTTTTTATAAGTATTCAACAAAATAGTGAAACGATTTAGTTATCAATCAAAAACTATAATCCTATTTTAAGAGACACAAGTCTATTTCTGAGGCTCTTGGAAACAGGTACAATCAAATGGCTGCAGAGGCATTAAATCTTCCGCAGAAAACTATCTGTAGACATAGTAAACCAACAAATTCTGATACAGAGTATAACAAAGAGGTAGAGCTGGGTAACTTTAAGCCTGTATTTATGGATGAGACGTGGGTATATAGCAAGGGAAGTGCCAGAAAAAGTTGGTAAGATGGAACGATGGCTACTGCAAGTAAAAAAAAAAAGGAGATGGAATTCGATACATAATTGTTCAATGAAGAAGGGTTTATAAAAAATGCAGACCTCGTATTTAAAAGTAAAAAAGCGGGGATTATCACAATATAAATGCAGAATTTTATGAAAAATGATTTTAAGACGAAATTTATAGTCTGGAACATCCTTCTTTGATTATAATCAATAATGTCAGTTATCATTCGCGGTACGTGGAACCAATTCCATGTTATACTTGGACTAAAGATAAAATGGTTGCAGAAAAAGAACGTTATTTGGGAAGTTGTACGTCAAAACCTACCACGGAAAGAATTCCACCTAGATATGTTGAGAAATATGGGCATAAAATATTTAGTACTTCTCCATATCACTGGCAATACAATGCGATAGTGATGGTGTGGTCAGTACAAACGATTTTATGACGAAAAATTTTTAACGAAAAAGTCAATACCGGAAGATATATTTCAGACTTGGTCAAAAGTTTTGAATAATGTTACTGATACTCAGTGGGACAATTATTAAGGATACACTAAAAACAATTGTTTCCGAGTGGGAAAAATATAAGCAATTGGATGTTTCTGATCTAGAACCAATTATTATTAATTTAGGTAAAACGACAAGTGGTGACGAGTCTAAATCAGAGTCCAGTTGTGAAGAAAACGATATCGATTAAAAAAATTTATAGGAGTTATCCAATAAATATTTTTTGTGCCTCTTGTTATAATATATTTTTTAACAAAGAATCTGCAGCTGTTGGATTATCTTTAAAAACTCTAAAACGCTAAAAACCAATGTTCAGCTGGGAAATTTACTTATACCGTAAGAAAGTAAAATGTTTAGTATTTGAGGACAAAATATAAAACGTAATCTTAATTTTTTCAAAGTGACTTCTTGTATTCGTGTAAACGCATCTTAATAAAGTTTACATTGATAAGCACCTACAAAGCACAACTGATATAAGAAGACACGTGCAAACTGTAATTAAAAATGCGATAACTCTTTTGTCAGATGACTTGGGGTATTTCTATTACTTTATGCTTTAAAACTGGTTATCCTGTTATTTCTGACTGTCGGCACCTATATGTTTTTAAAGAATTTTCTATAAAAATCTGGTTTCTTTTGATAGTAGAACAATCACATTCGATTTAGAACCATTTTTGACTTAATTTGCTACTAAACAAATTTCAATTGTTCAACTCAAGTGAATAATAAAATAATATTAATATATCACATGCAATCCATGCACAAAAACGTTTATCTACCATTAAAAATTGTAGCCGGCACATTTATCCTGAATTTAAAAATGAACAGACAAAAGTTTGATACTCATGCCAACACTGGTTCTTCAATTTAAAATAAAGTACCGGTTTAAAATGAATCATACCAAATAACCTTCATATCTTTATTATTTTTTCTAGTCCATTCCTATAAAAATATACGAAACGAAAATAAACAAAATAAAGCAACCAAAAAAGAAAAATTACAACTTCATCGATTAAAGAAAGTCTTCTAGATTAAAATCATTTTGTAACTAAATTTTTGGCTCATCAGATTAACAAATTTATTTTGGATATATGGATTGAAATAAAACCCAAAAAACGAATACCGTAAGCGCCAGAACTATTTTTTATCTGTATATGATTGACGTTTGGAAATGATTAAATATAAATCCAAGCAGGCGCAGATGTAAATTTTACGTTGGGCGCCATTCTCATAAACGCGGTTTTTGTTAAATAACAGTCTAAACATATGTCCCTAAGCATGTTTTATGAAAGTTTTATGCCATAAAACAAATGGAACTTGTTCTATTTTTGTGTAGTTTTCATGCAAGTTCGATTCAATTTGATAGTGATTTTCGGCAAACCAACCTGACAAAAATTTACTAGTGGCCATTGAGAATTTTGAATCCGTATGTAGATTGTATCTATCCTTTCTATTTTTACGGTAAGATGAACTGTTCGTGAGTTACTGAACAAAAAAACGTGTTTGCAGAACTGGCGCCCAACGCGCAGTCTTTTCCCCGGCCGCCAATTTTAGTTCAGGCGCCTTGAGTAGACGAAAACCGTTCCCTACTGCAAAACCAATCCTATATTGCATGGCATCATACTGGGACATTTCCAGTTATACAAATAGTATTGTAATTTTCCGTCGCCTATGCCGAACTTGAGTTGCAACAGAAACTCGGAGTTATCCATCAAATCTAAGGCATTGAATACGTCGAAGTTGAGCTGTCTGGCCGATATCAAGGCGTCCGTCATCAGAGGAATCCAAGGATTGCCCTTGGACACATTGTAGAACGAGTACGCGGCTTTGAGGTTTTTATGTACAGGATGGTGCATCACCGTAGACGGTAGAGTGTAGTAGCTTATGAAATCGGTTATTTCACCATCTACATCCACTACGAAACTGTCGATTATATTCGGTCTGGGCAGAAACCAATGAGTGAAGTCTTCTTCATTGAAATATGGCGCTAAATCGAAACGTTGCAAGTACTGAAACATTCAAATAATACGATAGTTTGTACAGGATGTTCCAACCATAAACATTAAAACAACTTACCTCAGCAAGTAATTTATGAGCTCTAGGAATATCTGCAGCGGTCATTTTTCTAAACCCCGGCGTTTTTGGCTTGTCAGGTAACTTGTATAGCTTGAGGGTCCTCTGCATGGTCATGTTGCGGGACAGATGTGAGAATTTCACTTCAATCAATTTTTTAGGATTCAATGATCTGTGCCAGTAAGTACACGTACTTACCGGTTTCGGTAACACTATGCCAGCAGTGTACACGGCTTGGAACAGACCGTGCAGATGGACCCGACGGGTGATTTCTCTAATTAACACGGGCGCCACTCGTTTCGACCGCAACTTTTTATGTACACACAGGAAATTTATCTCCACCATTTTTTGTGTCCTGCAAAATTATTTGTAAAAATATTCATAAGGTTTATTAATTTATTTAAACAGAAGGACATTAACAAAAGCTTTCATAGAGTTAGATTAGATCATGGTAGGCTATAAGGTAAACCAGCTTCCATTTAAAAACAAAACATAATTAGACTTGATTAGGGTTACGAATAAAAATCCGCAATGTTCCTTCACTAGAGTATTTACGGTAACAGTGTTGCCAATGGCGAGGATTTTACCCGATTTTCGGGTATTCTTATTCAACTTATGACCAGTCATGAACAGGGCCAGTTTTACCACTAGGCGCTAGCCTAGGGTCTCATAAAATCCCTAAATATAAAAATATTAAATTAGGCCAGCAGAGCTTCAATCTGGTAACAGAGCAAGAAAAGCTGAATCAGCGCGGCGCGACGTAATAGTGTAACTAAACCACTGAACACGGCCGTTGTTTTTGACTGTGATAATTATTGAATCAGCATATCTATTATAATAGATAATCAGGAATCTGACTAGGAGTGCATTCAGATAATTTTCTTAGATCGATTGCCCAGGTTACTCTAGAGTAATTCTCATTTGCCCAAAATTTCTGAACGGCAACGAAAGTAAATGTAGATTGTTCCTCGCTTCCCGTTCCTCGTGTAGTTTTACTTTTTACTCATTTAGTTTTATTAGCTGTTTTTTTTCTTTTTATTTCAGTATGTACCTATTCATAGCCCTATTTACAATCGAGTTTATATTGAATGATCTATAAAGTCAATAAGAGGGAAAGCCCACTCATGCGACACGTTGCGCGCGACTGATCGCCAGGCACCGCGCGCGGCAATACTTTAGATGTTTCTAAATGACTCAAAGCCCATTAACGTGGTTCTGTCGCGTGGTCGCACGCGACTGAACATTAAAAATGACAATCCGCGATTTTCCTGCCGCACGCGGCCAGCTTTATCATGGATTCATATGGAGCCATCACTTATACAAACGTCAAGTCGCGTGCGAAACGCCAGTTGAGAGTTGGAGTTTCCTGTTAACTTTTCGACAGTTTCAGTGAAAAAATGTCCGACAGTTGTATTGATATAGATGAATTTATATCCGATATTCAAGACCGACCTCAAATATCGAACAATTAATTGAAATAAAATAGCGAAAAAAATATTTGTTCGGGAATCTGCGCTAGCAGTTCGTCAAATGACACTACTCTCATTCTGAAATATATGAAGAACTTATCTTTGTGTTATTAAATGCGCCTTTAAAATATTTCAGAATGAGAGTAGTGTCATTTGACGAACAAATATTTTTTTCGCTATTTTATTTCAATTAACTGTTGAGGTCGGTCTTGAATATCGGATATAAATTCATCTATATCAATACAGCTGTCGGACATTTTTCACTGGAACTGTCGAAAAGTTAACAGGAAACTCCAACTCTCAACTGTCGTTTCGCACGCGACTTGACGTTTGTATGAGTGATGCACCATATGAATCCATGATAACGCTGGCCGTGTGCGGCAGGAAAATCGGGGGCTTGTCATTTCTAATTTTCAGCCGCGTGCGACCACGCGACAGAACCGCGTAAATGGGCTTTGAGTCATTTAAAAACATTTAAAGTATTGCCGCGCGCGATGCCTCGCGATCAGTCGCGCGCGACGTGTCGCATGAGTGGGCTTTCCCTCTTAGACAAAAAAATTTAGAATCATTTATTTTAAATCAAACTAACTTTATAGAATTTCATGTACAAACGCCTTTATGACATAATATGAAATAACATCTGCAAAAGAATTTACTCAAATTAACCCAGTCTAAACTGGGTAAAAAAGAGAATTTGACTCAACTTTCTGAACGAGAGTAGCTAAATGTCCAAATTGAACGCTTTACTGTTCTTGAACGAACCAAGACCAAATTGATCACTCTTTTTGGTCGGAGCGTGTTTCCTGAAGGCGCTCCAAGCGTAAAGGTAAGTTGGAGTAGAGTCTGTATTAGTATTCTCTAGATTAATACCTAACATTCCTAACAAACTATGTGGTACACAACATAGCATAAATAAAATAGGTACCTATTTTGCTTTGCTTGCAGAATAGAATCTAATATAAAATTATCACAAGATGCGGCAACGGTAATAATTGCCCCATTGGTGAATAGTTCCTACTAGTATTGGTTTTCAATATAATAATGAAAAAATAAATATCGTGCGTTCGCGACAGGAATCATTTTTTTTTTTTGACAGATTACGGTGTTATAATAAAAATAATAAATCTTTATTGGTCCTTTTTGATCACTATACAATGATATGTCAAGATACATGTAGTGGACAAAACACAATTTAAAATCTACATTTAAATATACATATACATACATACATACACATATACACACAAACATATGCACACACATACATAATATATATTACGTTACCTAGCAATAATCCATAATTTGCATAAAGCAGATGTTTTGCGTTTAAATAATTATTAAAATAAAAAAAAATGTATTAAAAAATAAAAAATTGTAGATTTTTCCTTGGCTGTGACTAAAATTTGACTTAAAATATATCACGAATAGAGATGTGTTGCGACGTCGCGAACTGCGATTTTGGCATTGCGATGTTCTTGTCACTGGAGCGAACTGCTCCGGTTCTCTCAAAATCGCAGCGATTTTTCGGAGCTACTTTGCCCTTTTTTGGAGATCGCGATATACAAATTTAATCTTCAAACTTAGATTATAAAAGAGAAACGTTTCGAAAATTCAGGGCTATGATACAATTTGACAAAATGTTATTGTATCCACAGAAATAATACGACTAATTTACAAAATATAGACATTTAATTTTTCTTTATTTATCTTAACAAACTTAAAAAGATTCTAATAAAAATAAAACAAAAAAATATTTGTAATGTCAACAAACAAAATTATCTATTATTTACATGTAAAAAAAAAATATAGTTGTTTTACTTTATCAGACTTTAGCCGCGACCTACGATCTGTCACTATTTGTCCTGTTTTAGAAAAAATTCTTTCACATGGAACGGATGTTGCGACCATTCCGAATTTTTCTAAAACAACTTTAGACAAATAGGGATAACTGTAGGAATGTTGTTTCCACCACAAAAGAGGGTCTTGTTTCCTATCTAAAAAATCATCTTCAACAATAGCCCTTGACGAATCTGATATTCACACAATCTCGTTATCATATTACCCGACAGATCACAAATGCGATGCGACGTCGTAATGTGACTAATTCAGTAGCGAAATATCGATCAAAGCGCAGATGAGAAGAAAGGCACTGCTCCGGAAAATCGCAGCGATTTGGCACTGTGATTTTGCGGAGCAGTCCCATTTGGGCACTGCGAGAGGAAAAAGTCGTCGCAGCCCATCTCTAATCACAAAACACCCTGGTAACTTTATAGTTTATTTAGTAATATTATAAAATAAATGCCTAACAAAGAATCTCAAAATTGTCTGGCGCCTAGGGCCTCATGCTAGGTAAAACTGGCCCTGGTCGCGAATGTATTTATTTATTAAACATCCGGAAAATCCTCATTGTGATAAAAAATATATACAAAAAGTCATTTAAAGATAACAGATTATTTTGCAACTTTACATAATTACAAAAAAAAAAAATAATAAACATAGTCAAAAGTAATGATTTTTAATTATCATCATTAGGAATGATGAAAATATTCAAAATATCAAGAGTCTATTTCTTGCAGCTTTTCTAAAGCTATTGAAAGACACCTAGAATATCCTAATTCAATGAATTTACACTTCTTTGCTTCTCGTTAGAGGTCTAAATATGCCATAATTAGTTATGTGAAATGAAATGAAGAATAAATCATTTTCACGAGTATATCTTACTGGCATTCTAAATTGAATGGATTCTAAAAATTTGCAACAATGAATACCTAGATCCTGAAATTACTTTATGTAAAAATAATAAATCTACTGTATCCCTTCAAAATTCTAGATATTCAAGATCCAACATTATAATCATAATTACCAAATAGTAAATATAATCTGATTAACACTTATAGTGTATTCATCAAAGATTATAGCATTTTCCATTTAGAAAATGTACTATTGCTTGCAAAGTTATGTTTCAAAACATTTGCATTAGTCACTATTGCATTTTATTGGTGACTGTAATTTTTTAATGATTGTCATCATTGGGCAACACTGAAATACACTATGGAAAAAAATGGCGGCTCATTTTTACCCGACAGGCGCGAAAATATGCAAATCAGAATTGTGAAATATTAATTTAGAATCACATGATAATTATTGGCCATTAAGTACTTGTTAATAAAACAATTGAAGGGCTTATTGTAAAAACATAAGTGACACTTTTTAAAATTAAGGTATTTTTACTTTACGACAATAAAAAATAAAGTTACAAAAGCTTAAACCAAATGGAATTTTTTAAAAATACCATAGTTAGCCGAACAATCAAGTGATTGCATTTTAACAAAGTTGTAGTAGTTATAGAAGTTTATTTTAACCTTTAAAGGTGTGTTTCCTTAATAAATTAATGTTGTGGCTTATTATGTCATTACAATAAGCCTTTCAATTATTATATAATTATAATTGCACGATAGTTAAAATGCAACTGTGAGATGATTGTTTTTCACTTAAAAAAGTGGACCAGAAAGCTTTTGTATACCTCAGCTGTTAGCCTATTAAATTGTTATTACTTTGAGCTTACTTTTTATAAATATTCAGTGTTGCAGGAATAGCAGAGATAAATCCTACCAATCTACCACTTTTAACCACTCTAACACCACAGTGCCACTCCCTTTTCCACCCTGGAGGTTGCAGGGCCCTAAAAAGATTCAATTTTACAAATAATTTTTAAACAGAAATTATTGTTACCATTTTAAAAATTCAGGCTGATAGTCAAACCTAAACATACAATCATCATCCTCCACATAGTTCTCATTGAGAAGAGTGTACAATTCTTTCAAAACTAATGGTTCATCTAAATTAAGTGTGTCCCACTTAAAACCATCAGGCAAAGTGTACGGCTCCTGTCGAATTTCAGTAGCCTCTTTATCAGGTTCTATGGCCTCATTAACAGTTATCTTTTCATCTAAAATAATTTGCATGCATTGAAACACTTGAATTAATGATGTAAATGCTTAATTTTATCAATACAATATCTATAGGAATTTTTTTTATCCATTGCTAAAAAATTAAGACCCCATGTAGATACTGTGTCACAAAACTGAAGTAAAAATATGAAGAAATTAACTCTTACCCACCCTATAACCAATTCAAAAACAAATTTAGTGCCAAAACATTTGACAACGCTGTATACTAAGGTTCAAGTATAGCAAAAACCACCATTATTATATTGTTATTGGTAAATTAAAGTAATATAAAATTAATAAAATCCGTTTTTTTTTAACTAGTATTTGTAATTACCCAGTTTCAGAAACTGTTACTTTGATAACAAAGGTTAAAGGTTTGCAATTAATGTTGTCAAATAATTTCAATGTTATTTAGGAATCATTACTATTTGTTTTTATTTTATATTACCCATTTTAGGCACTGGCTGAGTATTCCAAAATTGATAAGTTTTTTTGAGTGCTTCCTCATTGTTCTTAGCAGGTTTCTGTGAAAGTGTGAACACTTCCATGGCTGCCTTCAGCTCTTTTATGGAAATTGTATTAATAGGATTGGATAAATTTGCCAAAAGGTTTCCATCTCCTGGGACAACTTCCGTATTTGGGTCCTTTTCCTCCTCTTGAACTTCATTTTGCTTCTTCTTGTGTTTGTTTCGCTTTTTCGCGCTACAAAAATGTTTTTATAATCAAAATTGGTGCACCTTTTTTACGTTTTCAATTTTTAATCAAAATATTGCTTATAAATATATTATTACACTAAATATCTCCAAATCGTTATTGATTTGTCATGTTTTAATGGACTTACAAAAACGTTGAAGCGTTTAAATATTTTCCGGTTAGAAAGCAAATAAATTGCGCTTTATAAAGAACGTATCCTAATAAACTAAATACCTTTTATTTGATACTATTCCGTCTGTACTTCCATCTATTTGATTAAGGTTTTCCGAATGATTTTTTTTAGTATCTTCCGACATTTTGGGCTAAATTGAAATTGACAAATTGACAGCGACTGTCACCAACAATCTCTCAAATATGAATACGAGTAACGAAAAAATCCCTACTTTCAAATAAACAAACGTCTTTGAATCGGCGGCTATATTTTATTACAGAAGATGTATAAATATGAAAAATGTATTGATTTATTCCTTTTTGTCATCGATTTTCATGCTTTCAAGCTTATTTTGTTATTATAAAGCAAATATATTGGACAATTTGTTGCTTAAGTTAAGGCATGGATAAATATAAGAAGACCAGAAGAAGAAGATTAGGATATCTGTCATTCTGTCAAATTAAATAGTACATTTCGGCCATTTTTGCCATTTACCGCATGCTTAATTTAAAATAGAAATTTTCAATAATTGGTGATAAATTGATTAATTATGGCCCAGAATAAGTTTAACGATTTAGCTGGTAAATTTAGCAAGGGTGGAGGACCCCCTGGCTTGAGTATTGGGTTGAAATTATTGGCCGTTGGAGGGGCCGCTGCCTATGGAGTTTCTCAATCTATGTACACAGGTGATTTATTGTAGGCAATTATGAAATTACTTTTTTTTTTTCGGTTGGAAGAATAGACTAGTAATTTTAAAATGTTCCTTTCTTCTGTATTTTTTAGTGGAAGGTGGTCATAGAGCTATAATGTTTAATAGGATAGGCGGTGTTCAAAAAGAAATTTATACTGAAGGTTTACATTTTAGGTTACCGTGGTTCCAATACCCAATTATCTACGATATTCGGTATGATACATTTCATTATGATTAAGAAAAAATATATATACTTATCTATTTTAGTTCACGACCAAGGAAAATATCATCTCCAACTGGATCCAAAGATCTTCAGATGGTAAACATTTCACTCCGTGTCTTATCTAGGCCTAATGCAGCTCAGTTGCCAATTATATATCGTCAGTTGGGTTTAGATTATGACGAAAAAGTGCTACCATCTATTTGTAATGAAGTTCTCAAATCAGTAGTTGCCAAATTTAACGCTGCACAGCTTATTACACAGAGACAACAGGTAAAATAGTAATTTTTTAATTGGTGTAAACCAAAATTGTACTATTTTCATCCGTATTTGCAAGGTTTCCTTATTGATAAGACGAGAATTGGTTGAAAGAGCTCAAGATTTTAATATTGTTCTTGATGATGTGTCGATTACTGACTTATCATTTGGGAAGGATTATACAGCAGCTGTAGAGTCAAAACAAGTAGCCCAGCAAGAGGCACAAAGAGCTGCTTTTGTTGTTGAAAAGGCAAAGCAGGAGAAACAACAGAAAATTGTACAGGCCGAGGGAGAAGCTGAAGCTGCTAAAATGATATCCTTTTTTGAGAAATATGTTCTAGAATGGCAATTCTCTCTGATTTATTAAATTAAATGTTTAATTCTTTGTTGATTTAAACAGAACTGTTTGCCTTCAGTTTTACTCTAGAAAATAAATTGCATACGATTGTGAAATAAAAGTAAATAATGCAGAAATTTTGCTATCATATTGCCAAATTTTTGGGCATACATATTTGATAGTAATATGGGTTGGGCTGGTCAAATAGCTAATGTTTGCAAAATTAAACAGTTCTTACTATATGTTACTATACAATATTAAAATTAAAATCAATATTTTTTACTGAAGAGCAACTGCTTAATGTTTACTATTCTTTGGAAATAATAAACTGTCTTACTTTATTCATGCAAACTTGTAAATATTAAAAAAAAAATTTTTTCTTAGTATTTATAGGTATAAAATATTGCTATATACTAAATGTAACATTATCAAATTCAAATTACCATGAATACTCACCAAGGAATGAACATGTATTTGGAACCACAAGACATTCAATGAGTAATCCCCTGAATATGTTAGTACAGTCTGTTCGCTATACTTACGCGGGTTTCGGATTAAAAATTTTATGAGTATTTCCAGGTAAGTACCCGAAAGTTTGACCTGTTCTTTGGGGAAATATCAACTGGTTAAATGAAATGAAAAATAATGTACAACTTTTTAATTAAATAATAATGGAGACTCTTTTGTATAATTGAAAGCAGAATTAAACTTCTTCATTAATGGAGTCTAATGTGGCTATTATAAACCTAATAATAATTTTATATTAAACTTTACACAGAAAATATGGTCTATGTATAATAATAGGGTTATTTAGCTCAAATAAAATATTTTCTAACATACAAATTTGTTCCATGTAGAGAATTTCAAATGAAAAATAAAAAAATTGAACTTGCCAACAAAAATGAAAATCAGTCTTTATCATCCAAAATATCATAATCGTCATCTCCATTAATTGTTATTATGATTGGACTTATTTCGTTTCGTAAGGTGCATTGTCTAAAATAATTATGCTGGGCTCACTTAAACCTGGAAGAAGTTTTTCGTGCAACCATTTTACAAATATTTCTGTGTTCATATTATTGTGATAGTCACTGGATTTTGATTTAGATGAAAATATTAAATCAGCACCTTCTATAAAACCCGATTTCCCTCCTGCATGTAAAATTATGTGTCGCTTCCCTTCTCCATCGGTATGTTTGATGGACTTTACGTTATCATCTTGGCATATTCTCTTGGTTGCACTCCTAGAAAATATCCATGTTTCGTCTTAAATATATAAAATTCGCCGCTTCTTTAAATTTAGAATATTTTCTTAGAAAGTTAATTTTCTTGTGCAAGACAGAACTTCTTTCACAAAGGGCCTTTCTGTTATCCTCCTTTTGAAATTTGAAACCCAAGTTATGTATAACTTGCCATAGACTTGTTCTGCCAAGGTCACATGTTCCTTGTTGGCCCTCATTCGGTAAATGGTATCACGAATTTCAAATTTCTTTCCATCTGGAATATCTTTCATTTTGCGGTGATCTTCTTTCGGCAGTTCACTATTGTGATTTTGTAATACTCTTAATTTGGTTTCACTAATTCCTACAGCATCGCATACGCGTTGTTGTACAGACATTACCGATTTTAAAGGACCGCCATTTTATTTTTCATCCGTAAAATACTTATGTACACTACAAATTAGACTATCTACATCTAACACACGTCTAGGCATTTTTAAAATTTCTACTAAATTTACAACATACATACAATGTCAACACTTCAAAGAATCAATTCAACTGCAATATTTGTAACAAATTTATTACCTACCCTAATGTTATTTTAATTTAAATCTGACCATTAGGGCAATTTTAGCTAATTTCTTGGGAAGAGGCTTATTGGAATTGTCAATGACTAATTTGCATAATTTTGTTAATCCGAAACCCGCGTAAGTATAACGAACAGACTGTATTTAATTTTATCAACTCCCTGATTTCATTAGATCTAAAAAGTATGAATAATAAAGCTTAAAAACTATTTAGCAAAGTCATGTTTTTACAATTTTATCTGAATACCCCAGTATTTTAAGGTAAATGTGTATGTATATTATTGTATGCTTTTAATGTATGTCTTAAATGTATTTTTTGTATTCTATAAACAAGATCAGATATTGAAGAATATATATGATTAATGGAGCAATAGAAACTATAAAATTGTTTTAGAGTCTAAAGGAATTTTTAGATAAAATTCAATGTGATAAAATATTTTTAATTTTTATTTTTTTTTATATTTTCTTAACAAAATCTTACTTAGGAGAAGCAATTGGTCGTAATCCTGGATACTTGAAGCTAAGAAAAATTAGGGCGGCTCAGAATATTTCAAGGACTGTGAGTTGTGCAGTGTACTGTCATATTTCTCATATATACTAAACAAATTTAATTTCAGATTGCAAATTCACAAAACAAAGTGTACCTAAGCGGAAACAGCTTAATGTTGAATATATCAGACAAGGAATTCGACGATATGTCCAACAAGTTGAAAAGTAAGCAGGATTAAATGAAATTTTTCCCATTTCCCTTAAAAAAATAAATAGTAAAAAAGCATTTCCAAAGGGCTATTTTGGTAAGGGAGTACAGAAATCAGTGTTGTAGGTCCCCGATTTTTCGTAATTTACTTTTATACTTAGTATTTTTTATTGTTAAAAATTCTCCACTATTTTGAGCTATACGATTGTTACTATTTGTAAATATTCTCTGTTTAATAAACGCTCAAAATTGAAAACATCTCGTTCTTTAAAACACTTTTTAACATTTCTGTGTTTCCTCTTTTGGCTTGGATGGACTAAAACAAAAAAATGCTTTTAAAAAGCATGTTATTTAATTTACTGAAGATTTTTTTTTATTGTTTTAGGCTTAGAAAATTTTGAGCACAAATCCGTACTAAGCCAAAGTGGAAACACAATTTTAGAATTATCACAGATAGCAGCGGATAAAATTATGCCTAAAACATTTCAGTGAACATTTAGTTTGTCTGTTTATATATTGTGTGCATTTAAATTCTTAGAAAGTTAATATATATTTTTTACACGAAAAATTGTATTATTTCGTGAAATACATTTTATTATCAATCCCATTAAGGGGTTCCAATAATTTTGGCTTTATGCCTAAAGTAAAATATACAGTATTGGCCATTGAAGATCTTCCAATGCCCCTTGACAAAAGTGTGTGTGAAAACTACATCACTAGGGCAAGCAGGAAAGAAACAATACCAGCCTATACGGCTTGGGCAACATTTCAACGCGGTCATTTCGTACAAATGGCAACTTTGACATCATTGCTTTATTCGCTCACTCCAATGCCTACTTTCCGTAGCTTTCATAGGCACTTGTGCATCGCGTATTGGAAAAAATTCGGTGGCCGAAACAGTTTTATTTTCTATATTATGTTTTTTTTTTTAATTTTAGTGTAGATATTTCCCATTGAAATGAAAGAAATCTGTTGCAGTGATGTCTGTTGGGGACCTTATACTTAGAGCATCAACTCGATGTGGTATATACAGATTTTTTGAAGGCGATTGGATTTATTTAATAAAATGTATTCTACTTTATAATAAATTAGTTAATTTGGGTTTTTTTAGCCAAAGCTTGATGAGTTTCTTTCAATCATACCTAACTTCTGTTATGGCAATGCAGCATTAAATGTCATGTGGCACAAAACCTTAAACTAATAGAAATATGTTAAAATTTCATACCCAAGTCCGATTTATATATAAAAACCAGTAGTTATCTTAATTTTTAAATAAAAAAAAAAAATAGTAAATATAATTTTATTAAAGATTTAAATATAAAAAATATAAAATATTTATACTTTTTGGAATTAATACTTAGTAATTTTGTAAAACAGCCAAACGTTAACATATTAACAAATTTAGTACTTTTTGCATTTCAATTAGAGTTCGAGGAATCAATGTTTAGTATTCCTGGTAATCAGTCTATTTCTCAAACGTTTTTTGACTCGCAAATTTTTTAGTTTGTTGTCCATTTTCATAATGTAAAATTCCTTGTCTACGTTGACGAAACGAGCCATCTTGTTACCATTGAATGGTACATCAGAACCTGGAGGGTGCATACGCATCTAAAACATATGTCCAATTAATTTTTATACAAATATTGGTGAATATAGTGCTATTACTGATCTGTACAAAATATTCAGTGAATGCACCATTCAAAATTATTGTGATAATACAACCGTTTAATTTATGAACTGACAGTTGAACCACATTGCATTTTATAATAATACTCTCCCTATAAATTACCCCCTTACGAGTGAATCTTAACCCCTGAAGCCGGCTGAGCTTGTACGGGGAAGGGACGGCTATTATTATTTGCCGTGGCGACTTAAAGGTCCTTTATAATCTCACAAAGTAATTTATTTGGTGACTCGAAGTAGTTACTTCATCTTCAGGAGCACCCAAAATGGAGTCGATGCATTGTAAAGTGAAAATATGTAATAAAGAAATAGATAATTAAAACAAACAAAAAAAAACAAGGTTAATAATAATTTGATTAACCATAACAAATCCATTAAGGATTAGCTACATGAGTTAACATAAAAAGTAGTATAAGGGTCACTGTTTCTACATAAGGCATTCAAATTTTATTTAAACAGGCAAAAGGAGAAGTGACTCTTTAAATTGTAAAATCTGTTTACTGCTAATTTTATTGTTTTAACCTTCCTAATAGGTACCTACCTTTTTATTCTCCAATTTATTTTGTAGATGGATTGTTATAATTTCACCTTTGTTTCATTTATTTTAAAATCACTCTCTGTATGTAAATCTAATTTAACGCCATTTTAGTTTCTAGTCCTCGTGTTAAATGTTCTTTTTTCATATTTTTTAAATTGAATTGACTGCTGGAAATGTTTCCCAACAAACATTTTGTGTAGGGGAATAAAAGGCCCAATAACTGTTGCCCTCCAAGTGTAATGATGGCCATTTACCTTTTATTATTAAAAGGCCGGCATATACAGGTCACTACGGCCGACAGTCGGACTGAGGTCACTTAGCCATCAAATTCAGTTAATAGACCTCCATTTTTCCTTTAATGTATAAAAATAAATATATTGGTAATTAATGGCCTATTGTTGGGAAGTTAACGGGAAATTGCAGGCCATTTACTATATTAATACTGACTGCTGAATAAAGGCCATGTGCCAGGCACATGACCAGATAGACGATTCGATAGTGCCTCATTGACCAGTAGTACCGTTTGAACTTTAAATTCTATACTATAAATTAATACTAAAACAGAAGGCATTTCAATACAGGGTGTTAAAAAAAAAGTGTCACAAAATAAAACGAGGGGTAGTATGGGCCAAAATATGCAGAAAAGTCTTAATAAACATATGTCCGCAAATGAATGGTTTCAGAGATACGGAGTGTTTTGTATCATTTTTTGATTATCTTTTTTCATTCTCAAAAACTTGCTTTTCTTATCGGAGTCTACTGATGTTTTTTCATAGATACTATTTGCAGTTATTATTTTGTTGTGGGTGAATAATTTTATAAATTTTCGTTATGCCTGTTTACACTAATATTGAATTAGCTGACATGCATTTTATGTACGGTCGTGCAAATGGCAATGCATTGAAATGGAGGGAGGGCACTTTGAACATCTCATTTAACTCTATGTTGTTATTGATTGTTTATAAATATCATTGTTTTTTTATAATAATAAAAAATTGTTATAAACACAAAATGGTCCGTATCTCCGAAACCGTTAATTTGCGGTCATATATTTATTAAGACTTTTCTGCTTATTTTGGGTCATACTATTCACCATTTCATTTTGTGACACTTTTTTTTTAACACCCTGTATAGAGTATTGTACACATTTTAGGCGATTCTTTACCCAGACAACACACCAAATCCCAGAGATATCCACAGAATATCTTTTGTGGATATCCAATATATCCACGGGATATCAGAAATATCCCGTGGATCTAATATGGATATCCAAATGTCCGTCTGTATCCAGAATATAGAAGATATCCTATGGATATCCAGCAAAATATCTAATGGGTATCTTCCAGATAATACAAGAAATCCCAGAGATATGGATATCCAGTGGATCTAATATGGATATCCAAATGTCCGTCTATATCTCAGGATATAGAAGATATTCGAATATTCAGCAAAATATTTTATGGGTATCTTTAGTAGAGGTTCATAAGTAACCAATGATTATTGAATAACGTCGAAAGAAAATAGCAGAGATAAAAAATATTTTCAACACTCTGCCTTTGATTTTGCCCACTAAGGAGAAAGTCATCCTTATTACGACTCTTCAGCAATAAATGGAAATTCTCGACTCCAGTCTCTAATGGAGTCTGATTGGGATACCAATTTTCGAACTCAATTACGGCGAGTTGAGCATGAACACGAGCGAAAGTGGTATCGCCATCTATACTTAGTAAGCAAAATCAAAAATTACATCTAGTGGATATCCACCATGGTTTGCGTTCGCGCCTAGACTTTGATATATTTAGTGGATGTCCATGAGATATTGAATACACCTTAAAAAAATTAATTTTAAATATCTGAACGGTACTATTAGCCACAATGGCGTAATTTTTTAATAATTTGCTATATAATTAGTATTATTTATGGACATTTGCATGTCTATAAATTACATGTCATGGATATAAAATAGATATCCACAATGGACTGGACATTCAGTGGATATTGGGATGTCCATTAGATATTCAAAAGATTTGGTGTGCTGTCTGGGATAAGCTTACCACAACATACTAGAACATACTTATGTAACCAGAGCAATTCTTTATAAGCTTATTAGAACATACTACAATAAAAACGTAAAACAAGTATTAGAAATTAAAAATTTAAAAAACCGACTTCAAAAACGTGCAGATGCCGTCACCACATCTTAACCAAATTTATATGGAACCACCCCTGAGGTACCCCCTTTCTAACAAAAAAGAAGCATTGAAATCATACACCGTGTTAAAGATTTATCGCTGAACATACATAAAAAAAATATATATGTATATATAGCGACGAATTGAACCACCTCCTTTTTTGAAGTCGGTTAACAACCTAAAATTTCTAAAATTCAAATTCCGTTTTGAAATCCCCAAACTTAAATTTGACATATGACATTCAATAATATAGGGTTACCCAATACTGGGGGTTACCACAGTAACCACATAACACCACAATACTGTAACCAAGTATGTTGTAGTAAACTTATAAAGAAATGCCTTTACACAGTGTTGCCAGATGAAAATTTTCTGGAACTGAACAGTAGATTTTAATAATGGGGGAAATAATTATAATTTGTAGTATAATAAATAAAAAAATTATATAAGAAACGAAAAATAAACATTTTTGGCTATAAAACCCAAATTAGAAATTAAAGAATAAAATAAATAAAATTTGTAAAACAAAAAAAAAATAAATGAAAAATAATAGGTACCTATTTTTTCAGATCAGTCTGAATCAGATAATTCAAATATGTTGTGTGTGTCATGCATATTCTTATTATGATGCCCCAAGTTAGATACCTACAATTCCCAGAAATACCGCAAGCTAGGAGAATCTTATCTAAATACATATCATGTTTCTAAGCACTTGTTAGATATTGTAATACACAAAAGATTCACTTCTGTTTTTGCCGTTGTAACAACAAGTTGTTCAAAGATTATTAATATTGTATTTTTTAAATAAAAATAATATTTTTTAAAAAGACTTTTTCGGTTGTTCGATTCGTAATTCCCATTAATTTTTTGTTGCATTTTAAATCAATGATCAATGATGATTCTCTGGACGTTAAATATTGTTTGTGTAGCGCAAACCTACAATACTGGCTGTATTCAACTTATTACGTTGATTTCACTTCAGCAAATTTACTTGAGAAAATATCCTTTGTACATTTGCTGAAGAACGAGGCAAACGTAATAAAATTAAGAACAAAATTTGCCAAGTTGGCAAAAACAGTAGATTTCATGCCTAAAACAACAGGGACAAAAATAGTAGATGTACTGTTAAAACAGTAAGTCTGGCAACACTCTGGCTATGCAATATAATAGATTATTTTTTCATGTGTCAAATAGGTAAAATTTTGTGATTTCAGCCAATTGGCAAATGTCATATAATCAACTTTATGTCGCAGCGGTTATGCGCATGATCGGAGGGCTCTTACAACTGTTAATATAATGCGTCGTTGCCACATATCCATTTTTTTAGACTATTAAAGGATATTATATTACTATAAAATGAATAAATGTATAGAATGTTCTAGATTATTACCTACTCGAAATATGTTTTTCATAAAAACTGATTCAAAAAATAATCTTCTCAAATACCTCTTCTCTTGTCATTTCAAATTTTATCTATTAAATTTGGAGTTTCCATATTTAAACATATCTTTTATTTTATTAAATTAAAGACGTTTTCGTGGAAACTAAAAATTTAATCGATAAAATTTGGAGGACTTGTATTAAGCTCGCGTTTAGTTCACGCTCAGTTCGAGTTCAACATACACAAAGCAGAACGTGCGTAGTAATTTATTAATTTCATTCGCGCTCAGTTCAACATAAAAAAGAGAAAATATTGGCCTCAAATATGATTTAAAAGCACAAAATGGAGGATAAGGGTTTATGGTAATTCAATACGTTTTTGACATATAAATTATCTTTAGAGTGTACTTATCTGTTTTGAGTATCAAAATGTGTTATTTATGAGAGTAAAAAGGAAAAATATAAAATGATATTACGAGTCACCTTTGCAACTAAAAATCGCAGAAAAGGCGCAAAAAAGTGGAGGGCGCAATAAAATCGCAACACTTAGACAAAAAGCGCAAAAGTTACGCTTTTTGCGTTTAATTGGCTAGACTGGTGACGAACGAACCACCAACGACTTTATAAATTGGGTCCAGCGCGAACTCACCAACTTCAACTGAACGCCAACTAACGTAGTTTATAAATCCAGCTTTACCTTTGAAAAAATGTCTTCTACAAAAATAATTCTAAATTAACATATAAAAGTAAGAAATTACAATGAATACTGAATAGCGAATACCAACAATCTGAGACTGGCTGCATTGTAATGTCCATTCGTTGAGTATGTAGCAAGCGATCATATTCATATCCATCTATGAACGTGGGACGTAGCCCTCCTGGAGTGTTGGAGTTAGGGTTGCCATCTGACCTTTTTTGAAAAGGACGACAGTCCTTTTTTGAAGCAAATTGTCCTTGTTACTTTTTAAAGCCTAAAATGTTATTTTTTGGCAAATGTTTTTTTTACGGCAAATGTTTTTCACAGCATTTATCTTTGGGAGGGACATGGTTTGTACAAAAATATATAAGCTGAGCTTTTCTTAGAAGTTGAGTAGAAGGATGAGGACTTTTTGTATACCGGAGCCTCTATCAGCATCGTGGTTCTTGTTTCACTTTTCTAAAAGGTGGCAACCGTAGTTGGAGTTGAGTGTGCGGTAGTTAAAAGCATTTTGACTTTTAACATACTTTTACCCAATTAGGCATTCCAAACAAATGAATTGCCAGTGGGAAGGTTTGGTGTATCTAAGGATTGCGACATATGATGTATTCTATCTACTATACGTAAACTCATGAATATAATTAATTACATTTAAATATTTTATGTCAAACGTAATAAAAATAATATTTAAAAAACCTGCTGATACATTTCTTCATAAATTTGCAGGCTAGGCGACTACTATTTCGAATAAAAATAGCGTCCAAGATGCAAGATAATGTCGCTAGCCCCTTATAGATATACAAGAACTTCCCACTGGCACCTATTGTTTGACAGATCGTTGGAATGCCTAAATACAGTGTAACTTAACCTTAATAAGGCCATCATCAACCAACATAATGTTGGGTCACTATCGAAAGGCCAAAAGCTTTCATCTCTTGATCATCGCATTCATTTTCTCTTTAATTACAGTAAAAAGCCAACAATACCCCGAACATTTTTGTTTGTTGGGTTACAATTTAAGGAGGCACTTCTCTTTTACCTGTTTAAATAGAAATTTTATACCTAATATATGTAGACGCAGTGACCCTTTTACTATTTTTTGTGTTGACTCCTGTAGATAATTCGTAATTGATTTGTTATGGTAAATCAAATTATTATTATTAACCTTGTTTTCACCCTTGTTTGTTTTTTGATAAAATTTTCATGTTCTTTATTAAATATATTCTCTTTACAATGGATTAACTATTCACGACTTTTATAAAGGACCTTTTTTCCTACCTTCGTACTCAATCCCTACCATTCACATATCGCTACCCTCACCCTTAAACTTAGCTAAGTGCTTTGTGACTTTGCTATGTAAGTCAACAACATCTGTCACGTTTTCACTGTTCAAATCGGACCAATTATAATGATGATAGGCGCTAATGTCTTTCTGACAATGCTATTGCGCATGCTTCCGTTAAACATTATGTTTCTAAACACTGTTATAGTCCAACCTATAATATCGAATTTAGATGTTAGTGCCTGTTTGGCACGGATGTTTTTTCGTTACAGGTGACGTGACGAATGAAGTGACAGATATCGTTGACTTACTCACCACTGACATGTGGCACCATCTAGCGGCGAATTTTTAAACTCGTGGGGGCAGAAGCCCCCTTGCTGATCTACTAATTTTCTGTATAAACTGGTTTTTGAGGGATATCCTACTAGTTTTATTTTTATTAGGTACATGCATGAAAACCTAATTATTGAAATGTCCACAATTATTACTATATTTTTTAAAGAGAAAGAAAATTTATATTATTTTATACTTACAGTCTCGAACAAATTTCCTGGACATTCCTAACTATACGCTTCTTTTTATTTTAAAATTTTATCGTTAAAGAGAAGTAGGAAAGAATAAATAATACTTATAAGAGGATTGAACGAAAATTCGAGACATGCGAGAATATATTAAAAATAAATATAGTTACACTATAAAAATTATATTTACATCTATGTACTATTTACCTCATAAAAAAAGTATAAAAATATCTAAAGTAAAATACTATATAAAATTAGCACTCAAACAACATTTTTTTCAAGACAGGTATATTTTGTTATGTAGGTAACTCCTTACTGTTTTGTTAGTAAAGCGAAAATATTACAACTATTATGTAAATAAATTAATATAGTTAAGGTATTAAAAGAAGCATTTTAACTATTTTTATACCATCAACCACTAGAACCGAAAAAAAAGTTAAAGATCAGAATTAAGGCGTATTAAGTTTTTTGTTAAGCTAAATTTCAAGATTAATTTTAATCCTTGTCCCATTAGTCATCAGATGAAGCCTTTTTGAGTCTTTTCTGTAAAAAAATCACATCATATTTTAGTAGGTATTGAAGGTGTTTTATATTATAAGTAATAATTGATTGTGTAATAAAATGTTTGTAGTCATTGCTTAAGTCAAACAATTTCAAGGTTTTAAAAAGTATGACTGATGCATAATAAAATTATAAATAATCAATTACCTACTATAGGTTTGAAAGATTACAAATTTGGTTGTTGTTATTATAACATTGAATTATTCATCAAGAGTGCCGATATAAAGAGTTTAGAATAAAGCGATCGAACTTTTGAGTTTAAATTTAAAAAATGATAAATGAAGACATAAGTGGATAAAGGTGTCATGTAACAAAAAAATAATTTCGAGAAGAACAAGTTTAAAGTTTTACAATTGCATTATGATATATGGCTCATGACACCTTCCTATCTGATGAATAGCCGTTATTTATCAAAATTGGAAATCAGAACTATCACAAACAAAAATATAGTATATTTTAAGTATATTAGGCAATAAAAATATTTTTTTAAAAAAATGTGACATGACACCTTTATCCACTTATGTCTTCAAATGATAAAATTTAACAAGATTTTCTATGTTTGTAGACGTAGCACGTACCCAGCATGCTTTGTTATTTGCAATTTATATCAAATTTTAACAATATTATTTTAAATGTATTCAATAATTTAAAGTGATTATTCATGAAAAATGATAACCTATAACTTTGTGTTAAAAATTATCTGTCTGGTCAAGGCTCAAACGGCATATCTCAAAGATTAAAAATGTATGACAAAAATGTTCAGGATGGTAATAGATAGAAAATAGATTGTGTTTAAAAACTATTTTAACCAAAATCAACTTGTTGGCAACTATTAAATGATTACTAAACATTTTATTTCACAATATCATTTTGTATTAATAATTATTCACAACAAAGGACCAAGTTCACTAACCATTATTCTGTACTTTTCTTTACAGGCATAATCAGATTCATCAACGTCTTGGTAACAATCGCTTTTGTAGTCTTCTGGTATCTCTTTCCCTTCGAATTCGCAAAGTTTTTTTAAAGGCCGGGCTCTGAAAATATTCTGTACTGAGTATCTACATTTTTCTGCGCAAAAACACCTCAAAGTTGATGAACAGCTTGCATATATGATTCAACATAGAAAAGCTCAAATCTCTACACACAGCATTGTTCATAAAATAAGCAGTTAGGTCACTCTGGCTGGGTCTTAGATATTCTTTGAACATTATTTTGCCGGGGAAATAAGCGTTGGCCGTCTCTCTTGTGAACAATAATATTAGTAGTGATGCCGCGAGACAAGACGAGACGAGAAAGTGGCCTGTCTCGTCTCGTAGGGCGAGAGAAAACTGTTCTCTCGTCTCGACGAGAAGGCGCGTCTCTCGCTCGAGAGAGCCTTTGTCTCGTCTCGTCTCCTCTCGTTTCTCTCGTTATAAAACAATATCAAATTTAAATTTGAAAAAGACGAAACATGAAAAAACGGTAAAATTTGAGAGACAAAAACAAAAAATGTTTCAAGTAAATAATTAGTACCCAAATTTGGCAATAAGAAACACTTATGACTCTCTGTCTGTCCGTCTGACACAGTCGTTTTACAATTAAAATTTGAAGTAATAAGTGGCCCAAATTATATAGGCGTTAACTAAAAACGAAAATACTTTGTCTTGTAAGTTGGGAAGGGGGGAAGAGGGGAAGAGGGTTAAATAGGAAGTTAGAATTTTTCTAATGCAATCCTGCGATGTCAAATGAAAGCATTTTGTAGTATGTTTTCAAAATGCAGGAAGATAGAGACATAAAACAAAAACGATGTGAAATTAGAGAAACATTATGATATTTTTGTTATAATGAGATGCACTTTACTTGAGACGTAAAATAGAGGGCGTTACTTTCTTTAAATTTTCTAATGGAAAGTAAAGTCATGTAATACCTCATTTGAAAGATAATTTGATTATATTTACGTCCAAGCAAACAGTTTTATTTTTTTTTTACAAAAATTACATTCTTGGTAATCCTCGTCTGCCGCAATAATCCTAGAAATGTTAGAAGAGAATTTTTCAATATTTTTTTTTGCCAAGAAGTTATGAAAAATGTAATTCGTCAAGTGGTTTTTAAATCACCTTTGATATTCTTAATTTATTTATTTTAATAAATACAAGAAGCGTTTCCTTAGTAATAAACAATAATTGTTAATACCAGAGTTATCAAGAATGTAACTTATTAGTAAAGGCCCAGAACAAAGCACCAGTTACAAAAAATTGCCATTTGTGCAATGTTAAATCCTTCTAGCAGTAAAAAAGTACTTACATTTATAAAAGATACTGACATTTACTCTGTACTAGCCAAAATGTTAATTATCCTTTGTATACTATTGTAAAAAACAGCATTTATAAGGTATTATACCTCCGTTAATGATTCTTTGAGGTTGAAACGGTAAATAAAAAAAGAATTTAACCTACTTTATGAATTTATTTAATGTAATTTCTGTAAAAACATAAAAACCTAAATCTGTTTACATGAACGTAAAAATATAGAAAATATCTTTCAAATGAGGTATCAGATGATCCTATTTTCTATTAGAAAATTTAAAGCCAGTAACTCCCGCTATCTTACGTGTCTCAAGTAAAGTGCATCTCGTTATAACAAAAATATAATATCTCTTGAGTTTTACCTTGTTTTTGTTTTGTCATTATGTTTTTTCATTTAGAAGTTAAAAAAGAGGAGGGTATAATTTTCGTCCTCACTGTATATAATACATTCGTTTGTATTACCTTTTCTTTGACAGTTTTTCGAAAAAACGCTTAAAAATTTTCAACTTATCTTCAAAAGTAACCTCAGAAAAGCAAACTGAATTAAATATAAGAAATGATATTGTACCTATAAATTTTAAATAAATGAAATAGGCAAAGAGAAAATTGTTCGAGAGAGTCCGAGAGAGCTCGAGAGGAACGAGAAATTCTCGCCGAGAGATGACACTCTCTCGTCTCGAATCTGTTTTAGAGAGAAAATGTCTTTATCGTCTCGTTCGAGACGAGAGACGAGAATCTCTCGTCTCGCGGCATCACTAATTAGTAGGAGAGCTCACTTCAAATTTCGGCCGTCATCTGATAACGAAACGAAATATGCTCCAAAGGCATGTAACAACATTGTATTCTACCAAATGGCATCTGTACTAATCACTATCCTGAGCGAAGGGGGTTAAAATAATTACTTATCGATTATTCGGTTAATTTTTTATAAAAATCGATTTATTCTATTTCAACATTTTAGTGTAGTTCTATAAAATAACTTTTGTCTTCTCTTTCCATAAAATGTCGTTGCATCTGTTTGATATTAAAAAATCACGTTAATTTTATTTCATAATACAACATTCCATTAAACATCTTTAGTAAATACAATAGTTCATTCTGATGCTAATAAACTCCTGCCCCTTGCCACAGAGTTAGGGTCTTCTCCCAGTTCCCCCACTCCCTAAGCCTTTCTTTAGAAATTGGTAACAATGCCAACATTTGCACAAGTTAAACACCGGTATATTTTACATTTCTGGTCTATTTAATTTAAGATCACAAGTATACAAATAAATCTTCAGATCGGTAAAAATTGATTCATATTCGCGATTCAAGCTAAGAGATACGCCCTCTGGAGAAAATTTGTAAAAGGTGTCTATAAGTAGGACTTCTGTCAGTTTTGCAGGAGTAGTGGAATTTCGATACGTCATCGAATTTTTAGCCCTTGAAGAAGTTAAAGACCTTTTTTTTAAGTAGCGAAGTTTGTATCTACATCTTAGATTAAAGAGACCGGAGATGTAACATTGCACATAGCGCATGATGTCTATTCCAACCTTAAGTAACCCACCAATTAAAAATCATTGTGTCCACGACGCCACCCATAGATAAATTAATATTAATTTATCGCCACCTGAATTGCTCAGACATTTCTATTCTACGCTCATCTCTGCGTGAGTTGACTGCCGTTTTCTGAATTATTTGTTGGTGTTATTAGCAATTTAAAGTGTTTTAGTTATTCAATTTCAAATTGAAAATGCCACGATGTATTGTGAAAAATTGTATATACAAATAATATAAGTGCCAATGTTATGAAAAATAAGAAATAAATTCGTTTTCAGCGGTAAATATTTATTAACGTTTTGACATAAAGCCGCCATGATCCTTTGGGCTGAATACTTCAGATCCGCAGTAAGAGGTCTCAATAAATATTAAGCATCAAATACATATTTCAGAAAACATATTTCATAATACATAAATTTACAAAAAGGCAATATTTTGAACATTTAATTTAAATAAGAAGTAAATAGGCTATTTATTGTTTCGGCCTTTACTTGATGAAAATCCATTTAATTTTGAAAGAGTAAAACCAAATTTGGTAGATTTTCACACTTTTATTTTAAAAATAAAAATTTAAAAAAAAAACACTAACATGACATATGTTTCGAAGTACAACTTCTTTTTCAAATGTGACTATTTACAATTCGGTATCCAATATATATACGAAATAATTTAACAAAACAAAGTACTTAAGAAAACATCAATAACATTACAAAATAAACTAACTATTTAAAGTAAATAAGGGTACTTAGGTAATTATAATATCCATCAGATAACAATAAGCCCATTACCGGGATTATCTCGCAGAAAACTGGGAAAGAGATTTAATAAGGGTGAATTATTAATATCTAATTGATCATTTAGTAAGTTATCTGAATTTTTAAATCTATTTATTTCAAGTGTTTCTAAATGGTTTAATTTAAGGCTCTTATTTTCTACATGTAAAATTTCAAAGTTGTCTGTAAAAGAATGATTTTCAGCTAAAATATGATTTGAGTAAGTAGAATTATTTTTGTTTTTTGTATAGCTATTATAATGTTCGGAAAAGCGTTTTTTGAAAGTACGGCCTGTTTGACCAATATACAATTTTGGACAACTACCACAATTTAATTTATATACCCCCGATTTATTATTAGGATTAATTTTACCCTTATTGTTTTTAATATACTTCCCAAGCGTATTATTGGTTTTAAAAGCTACGTTAATATTTTGGTTTTTTAAATATGATGATACCTTTTCACTAGGAGCTCCTATACAGGGTGTCCTTTAAAATGTGTCCCAAAATTCTCAGGCAGATTCCTTAACCAAAAAATGGAAAAAAAGTTCCTATAGACCTATGTCCTAAAGTGCCCCCTAAGCGAGCAACAGCCTCTCGAAATCATTTTTTTTATTTTGATTTTTTGAATTTTCTTAAAAATGGAAACAAATAAAAGAACCAAATTTTGGCTGTTAAATATGATCAATAATAGTGACCTTTTGACACCTTCAAAAAGAAATTATTTCGTCAGGGGTGTACTTGGGAATTTTTTGAAAATTTTGATTATTCATAACTTTTTTGTGTTTTTGGTAATGACTTATCCATATTTTTTTTTACATTCTACATTGAAAACTACGTCAAAAAGGAATACTTGTTTGATCTCGATTGGAGCAGCCGTTTCCGAGAAAACATCATCCAAAGATATTCGTCCACTTTAGCTTAATTTTCAATTTTCCTAAATTACCTCGGTGAATCTCGTAAATAAAAATAACTTTTTTAGCTCTCTCTAAATAATTGTAGTTCAAATGTCGTGGTGGGACTATTTTTATTTAATAATAAGAAACGGTTTAAAAAAATATTTATTCTAAAAAAACAAATCAAAAAAAATTAAAGCAGATGCTCAATGTGGCGACCATTGGTTTCCACACACAAGCGCAACCGTCGCATCATAGACTGTCTTACACGAAAAAATACTTCAGGATTATTCCTAAGAACTTCGCAATGATGAAAAACTCGTTCTTCCAATTCTTCAACTGTTTCAACAGGACTGGAATAAACCAATGATTTTAAATAACCCCAAACAAAAAAATCCATTGGATTTAGATCTGGTGAACGAGGTGGCCAGTTAACAGGACAACCTCTGCCAATTACTCTACCCTCAAATCTTTCGTTAAGGTGCTGTCTAGCTTCAAGGCTGTAATGTGGTGGAGCTCCATCATGCATAAACCACATGTTA